TCAAAATTAAATTTTTTACGAATTTTTAAAGCTGCTCCAAAGTCTAGCCAAAGACCTGATAGATTTGTATAGATTTTGTAATAATTCATTTAATTCAATCTTTCCCTCTCATTACAGGGATACAACAGAGCTGTTGACTGGTGGGCCATGGGTGTCCTTATTTATGAAATGGCTGCTGGTTATCCACCATTTTTTGCTGATCAACCAATTCAAATTTATGAGAAGATTGTTTCTGGAAAAGTAAGGGACTATAATGCAGTATATTGCACATGTACATACAGTTTATTTGCATGACTCAAAACTTAGTTATTGTAATCAAGTCAAGCGTTTACAAAGCAGAAGTACATTCATACCGTATAGAATGAAATTTTAGAGGAGTTAAATTTGGCGAATTGCTAAATTTTGGTGATTGGTGAATTTTAATTTGGCGAATTTGTGGTCATGTGCCATTGAGCATGCGCATAATGATTCAAAATGGTAGATTTTTATTTTGGCGAATGGCTATCAAAACGCCAAATTCAAATACATGTACATTGTACAATACATAACAATTTGATTTTAATTTTTTCAGCCAGCCCATAATTTTAAACTTTATTCTTACTTTCATATCACAATGTGTGTATGTTATATTTTTGTGTTTTTTTAGGTTCGTTTCCCGTCTCACTTTACTGCTGATCTCAAGGATCTCCTGCGCAACCTCCTTTAAGTTGATCTGACCAAGAGGTTTGGTAATCTGAAGAATGGTGTCCAGGACATCAAGGGACACTCATGGTTCTCATCAACTGAGTGGATATCAATCTACCAAAGGAAGGTCTGTGCTACTTTCTTCTCTTCTTTCTTCTCTCCTCTCTTCCCCCTCTCTCTCCCTCCCTCTTTCTCTCCCTCCCCCTCTCTCTCCCTCTCTCTCTCCCTCTCTCCCTCCCTCCTCCCCTCTCTCTCTCTCCCTCTCTTCCTCCCCCTCCCCCTCTCTCTCTCCTTCCCCCTCTCTCTCCCACTCCCTCTCCCCTCCCTCTCTTACTATTATACATTATTCATAATTATTATTCTTTCTTTCTACATTGTTGCCCCATTTGTTCCCAAGACTAAAGGTGCTGGTGACCCGAGTAACTTTGATGACTACGAAGAAGAGGTTCTTCGCATTGCCGCAGCCGAGAAATTTCCCAAAGAGTTTGCGGACTTTTAGCTTTAGTGTAGCCTTAAAACAGTAGAGATGCATGTTATAATAAAATTCTCACGACGAGAATATCACATAGTATTATTAAGCTTTATTTTCTCTCTTTCTTTTTGTTCATTAGTCGATGTGTGTGTGTGTTATTATTGCTAGTGATGGCATTATACTGTAGAGAGACTCTTCCAGTCTTTTATGCACTCTTTAAGTTGTGTTCACAGATATTTTCCTTAATCATACTTGACACATTGTTGTTGTTATTTAATAATTGTTGCTTTATTGCTTACTATTGTTGTTACTTTCTATTGTTATTGTTGCTTACTCTTTCTCCTATTAGTCACTTGTATAGTACATTTCAATGTATTTTATTAGTTCCATTTTTGTCTAACGTTTACTGAGGGTGACATTTGATCCAGAAAATGAGGCTGTGATACAAATAGTTTGCTCATGGACTGTGAAAATTTGCTGTTTGTACTACACCATTAAAAACATCGTAGTAGAGTATTTAGTGTCAACTGCGCGATAGCGCTTGCCTGTACGACACTTCATTTTTCAAAGCTATAGACCTAGTATTATCTAGATAAATCTATATATGGACAAAGAGCTCCGGTAGGGCTGTCGAATTGAAGTTGAAGCTGGAACAACTTGAACAAGAGGTAACTGGGGTCATTTTGTTGTAAATTTGCCGGTCTGATATGAACAAACTTGTGGACAAGCCATATCCATCATGTTTGCCATCACAGTCTCTATTAGCTACCATGGCTATGATGGCTTCAATCCTGGGTCACGCA